GCCCCCTCGACTTCAAAGCTCTTAGGGTGGGACGCTTGTTATTTAGTTTGTGTTTCAAATTCAAGAACACCTCATTTAGAAAGAGCCTTGGGGCCAGCATTGTACAGCACATTAAGCTGCCTCCAGCAGCACCAGCGTCCTGTATAAGTGCAGTTTGTGTCCTGGCTACTGCATTTCCTGTCCAGCTCCCTGCTAGTGTACCTGGGAAAGCAGCAGCTGATGGCCAGTGCTTGGGCCTTTGTCATCTGGGCAGTGAACTAGCAGATGAAAGATCTCTCTCTCTCTCTCTCTCTCTCTCTCTCTCTCTCTCTCTCTCTCTGACCCTCTGCATTGCAGACCTCTCTGCTCTGCTGTTTTCCAGTCTAGGGATTGAAGGGAAAACCAAGCTTTTGCCGTGTGTTTTGTGTCAGGTTCTTGCCAAGGCTGAGGTGCTGCCATAGTCACAAGCTAGGCATTCACTAGGGGTCCTGCTCGGGCCTGCCTGGTGCTTTGTCACTGTGCTTCCGATTTTTCTAGTAACTGAGAGAGGACATAAGACTCTTCCGAGGTTGGAAATGGTCAGGCAGTGTGAGACCAGGAAGGCTGACTTCTGAGTTCTGACGGTTCTGTGTCCAAGGCCCTCGGGGTCCTCTGTCATCCCAGAGGGGGCTGCTGGCGTCAGGTACACGGAGCAGGGCTCAGGTGCACAGCGGGGATACCTGCCTGTGTCTGTAAAGGAGGGGTGGTGGTGACCGCTTCCTCGCACACTTCAGCATGTCCACCCTGAGAACGCTTCTGAACATCATGTGGCACTAAGGACAGGACCGTGTCTGAGTGAGACACACGTAGATAGGCAGCCTTGTGTACGCGTCCTGGTGTGGTGTCACCAGGCGCTGCAGCATTGCGAGTGCATGTGCTCTGCCTGGCACAGACACATTGGTGTCCTGACTGTGCCTGAACTTGTGCTTCTAGTTGGGGGTGCTGAGTCCAGTGTCTGCTCCTTCAGTGTCACCTATCGGATGAAAGCGAGGAAGGGAACCTGCTGCCTTGTTGCTTCTCAGGACACAGGGGCAGCTCTGATTGGTCTTCACATCTGCCGGCTAGGGATGCTGCTGACAAAGCTGCCCCCTTCCCGAAGATGGCCATGAGCTGAGCTGCCCCCAGAGCTACCCCCATCCCCTCCAGTCAGGCTGTGTTGGCGGGGCAGCCCCACCAGCTGACGGCCTGTGGGGGTCCCTCCACAGAGCAGGGGATCGAGTCCTGGTCTGGATAAACATGTGATGGGGCAGCTGGTTGCCATCTCCATTCACCATTGCACTTCTCTCGTGGCATGTGCGTGCTGCAGATACCACAGCCTGGGCACCCCATTGTAGAGAGATGGGGGTGCGCTGGCTCTTCAGGAGGCTGGGCCAGCAGGAAAGGTGGCAAGGACACACACACTCATGCCCACCAGGGATAACTGGAGGTGGCACATCGTGAGGCCGTAAACGGAGTGCAGGCTGCATGGCCCATGAGGCCTCACATGACCTCACTGCACAGCAAGGTTAGGCAGAACCCTGTGCTTCTGTCACTTTGCTAGGTCTGTGGATCAGTGCTGTTTTCTTGGAGTTGAAAGGATGACGTGTACGCATATCTCTGAGGAAAGAAGTTGCGTCCTGGCCTTTGTCTAGTAACCCTGGCATTGGAGTCCGAGCGGCTGGCGGGCGGAGAGGGTCCCGTCCCAGCCGGGGTGGCTGTGCTGGCCCAGCCCTCACTCACCGTTTTACACAGGGAGTCTGCTGCTTAGTGGCGCTCTCACAGACTCCCCTCTAAATACCAGGACTTAGAAAATGGCAGTTGGCCAAGAGACTACATCACGTCGTAAGACTGTCAGAGTAACTACTCAGTAGGGCTCCTTTTATTATAATTAATTTACTTGACGAACAAAGCATGGAGCTAGCACGCACAAGCCCATCCCTGGGTTCCCTCCCTGAGGACCAGGACTGGGCCGGGTCAGCTGATAACCAGCACACTTCTGTTTGGTGGCAGGCAAGCCCCTGCCCGAGTTGGGCTGCAGCTGGGGGCCTGGGCACCCCATAGGGGCTGTGGGCATCGTAGCCACCAGGCTCCTCCCAGTTATTTGAACACATAGTCCTGGGAGGCTCTAGCTAGAATGATGCTGGGGTCTTGTGCTCACTCTGTCACCTGTTGGTATTAGTGCTGCTTAACCACAGCTGGGACCAAATAGATGTGCCAGTTTTTAAGACCAAAGCCACCCAGGTTGAGCTGGCACCTGACTGGCTTCGTGCTCCCTCCCATCTGTGGGTGCAGTGTGTGGATGTCCCTAGGCACTGTGGGTCTCTGTGCTGGCCCCTGTGTCTGCCTGGGGTCCTGCTGTAGCAGGCCTCCCTCGCACCGTCCTGTCTGTCCCACTGTCCTTCCCTGTGTTTAATGCCTCCGAGCGCTGCAGCCCCACCTGTGTGTGGCTCTGCTGCACAGGCAGGGGGGCCTTGTATGCTGAGCTGGGAGTGCTTTGTGCTGTCATGGAGAGCATGCTTTAATAGCAGGGGAGAAATACGAAGGAGAGGAGTGCCCAAAAGAGCCTTCCCACGGCGCACGCAGGTCCTGGCCTGGCATTTGGCTCCTGCTGCTCTGCTTTGAGTTGAAACTTGAACCTGGGAAGCACGGGAGTCACAGGTCTGGGGTTAATTACCACAAAATCCTCTTGTACATGGCCTATCGCTGGGGACGAGGCTCCCTGGAGTGGTTAAGGGTGAAAGGTAGTGTTCCCAGGCGGTAGTTTGGGGGTTGGGAATTGAGTCCCAAGGCCTGGGAGGACTAGGAAAGGCTCAGATTTCCCCAAGTTGTGAAGTAGGGCTCGCAGCCTTGGGTTCCCTGAGGAGCTCAGCCCACTGGACACTGGAGACCGCCTTGCTGCTGTTCGTCCCAGCGCGTGGCTGTGCCTGGGTCCTGTGGGAAAAAGTGCCCAGCACCAGTTAGCTGTGGTGCGTGGCTCTGAGCCTGTGTCCAGCATTCCAGCAGTTTGCTTATTTATTCCAGATGCCATGTTGGGAAGGGGTGGGGCTGGAGTCCAAACCAGAATACCGCCCAGCACCAGGCAGGTTGTCCCAGGAATGGGCGAGAGCCAGGCTTGGTGGAGTGAGGAACGGCTGAGCTGGAAGTGAGAGTGGCCAGGGCCAGGGAGAGACATCCTTGGCGTGCATCCCACCCAGGTCATCTGCTTGCTGCCTGGGGACAGCTTCTCCATCCCTGGCTCCATCTGTCAGAGGGCAGTACCACCATGCAGGGTGAAGTGAATGGCAGGGCCCTATATGGTTCCTGGTACACTGTGAGCAGTGTGCAGGACAGAAGCTGGGCTGGGCTGGGGATGCCAGGACTGCCCTGACAGACCACTGGGGAAGCCAGGAGTGGCAGGGCCAGAGGTGAGGCAGGCCGTGGGTTCACGAGGTCCTAGAGATGGTGGACACCTGTCTCGGGGGAGGGTTTGTGGGGGCACAGGATAAGAGGTAAGTGAACCGAGCCATGTTCTCAGGACGTTTTGGTCTCTTCCTGCTTACAAACAGCCCCCAGAGCAGGCAAGGGTAAAATCCCCCTTCCAGCCCTAGTGTCCAGGACAGAAGTGTTTATGGTCCTGTGGTTCCCATCCTTTCTCCCTGACTGCTCCCACAAGCCCCTTTCTTCTCTCAGCTTAACATCCTCATAGTTTTCCCCAGTCCTAACTCAAACCCGTCCCTCTCTGTGCCCTAGGCCAGTGACACTGGTGCTGCTGGTGACCTGGTTAGGATTGAGCCTGTGGCTGATGGGGCCCGCAAGGAACAGGATCTGCCCCTCTGGAAAGTGTCCAAGGCTGCAGTGCCCTTGCTGTCCACTGGGTGGTGCTCCTATACCAGAAATGAATTGTACAACTAGCAGAGAGAGCCCCTCATTATGGTGACTCTGGGGGGAGAGTCATAGAGATGTTGGAAGTGATCTGGCCTGCTCATCTTCTGTGTAAACAAGTGGCACCATCCAGCTTCATATCGGGGTGTGTCTGGCAGGGAATTTTCTGGAAGCCAGGAACAAAGAGGTATGGCCATCTTGACTTCTGGTTGAAAGAAAAGAGCCCTGGCTGCCCAACTCTGGCCCACTGTTGTCCAGAGGGACACAGCACAGCGATGAGGCTTGGCTGCGTGAATGGGCGCTCAGGCCCCAAGAAGGGAAGCTGGGCCAGCGCCCTCCACAGCTGGCTTAGGCCGTTTTCCCCGCCACCCCACAGACTGCGATTTTCCGTGGTTTGCTCAACAGTTGGCATCTTCTGGGCTGTTCTCTGGGACCCTTTCAGCTTCCTTGTGTGAAGAATGAGTTGGACTTTTGTGTCATCAAGGGCTTAGTCTGTTCGTAAGTGGCAGGCATTCTGCTGTGTTTGAACCAGGTTGTATATATCTGACGCAAGTTGGACCCCTGGGCTGGGGGCTCTCCTGAGAGATGTGAAAAGTACTGCCTCGGGGAGCCCGCCTGAAGAGGGACTCTGATAATCAAGAGTCCAGTGAGAGCAGATCGGAAGAGGCCGAGACTTGGCTGAGCTTCCCTGGAATCTCCCAAAGCCTGTGCTTCCAGAGCTGCCCCCAGGGCAGTGGGTCCTGGGCGGGCCAGCAGGGGGACGCCCAGGGACCGTGGCTGAGCCGTAGCAGCTGCAGAGACACTGCCTGTGAACCTGGACGTGACAGCAGTGGGGACTGTAGGACGTGGCCCCTCGTCCCCGCTGGTCCCTGCTAGTGCCCTTGGGGAAGCAGTGGAGAATGGCCCAAGTGCTTGGGCCCCTGCATCTGTGTGGGAGACTCCAGAGCTAGCCTCGGGCTCCTGGCTGCAGCCATTTGGGAAGCAAACCAGTCCATCTCCAACTGCCTTTTGAATGACTAAGCAGCTTGAGGTCGGCTGTCCCCGTGTGTGCCCTCGGAGCTGGGAAGCTGAGCTGTGGCTTCCTCCCGGGCCCCTGGCACACGGGGGCTCCGGCGGCCACCTCACAGTCCTCCTGCCTGCAGGTGTTCATCTCCGTGAACTGCCTCAGCACCGACTTCTCCTCGCAGAAGGGCGTGAAGGGCTTGCCGCTCAACCTCCAGATCGACACCTACAGCTACAACAACCGCAGCAACAAGCCCGTACACCGCGCTTACTGCCAGATCAAAGTCTTCTGTGACAAGGTCAGTGGGCAGGGAGGGTGGAGGGGGTCTTGAGCTGCTCCCATCAGGTGGCTGGGCCCCACGAGGGCACTCAGGTCGATGGGGACAGCCGCAGGGCCTGCCTGGTGAAGCAGCATGGTGTCCGTGAGCACTCTCGCCAGGGGTGAGAAACGTGGGATGTCCTGGAGAAGGGGGGCAGTGGCCGAGGCTGGCCCTTCCTGTGGAGACCCTCTGTTTATGCCCGAGGCAGGGGCAGGGCTAAGGGTGGAGCTCTTCTGTGTCAGGGGCCTGCTGTGTCCATGAGGTGACCCGGGAGGGAGGGAGGTACGCCCTGCAGCCGACCCGGACTGCTTCCTGGACCCCCAGTGGCATCCCACGTGGCTGAGTGCCTGCCATACATTCGCTGGCCAACAGAATGACACAGGTCCAAGCGTGACTCAGGCCACACTGGACTCGGTATGGTCTCTTGCCCTCAGGACAGCTGTTGGCAGCTGGGCCTCTGAGAGGAAACCAGTTTTCCGGTCCAGTTAGACACCGCCGTCCGGTGTGCTGTCCCTCACACCCTCGCTGACGCTGCCCATCATGTCCTTCCGAGTGCTCACATGTGGTGGAGTGTGAAGCTGCTGCTGGCTCCTGCTAGCATCAAGTGGTGGCTCTGGGCCCCCTCCCCCCCCCGTGTCCTTTCCCTGCCACCAACTGAGGTAGCTCTGTCCACAGTCACCTGGAGGAGGTGCAGCTGGCCACCTCGCTGGGGGTGTGACCCTGGGGCCCACTTGTCGTCTGCAGGGACTGCTGGGAAAGTGATGTGGCACAGCCCAGGATTGTACTGTTACCAATTGTTACTAATACTGTTATCTCTATTATTTTGTGTTGCATGCTTCAGCAGGCGTAAAGTCCTGCTGGGTTTCTGATGTCTTTCCCGAGCCACACAGCCGTGGCCTGAATCCGCAGGGGTGGTGATGAACTGGGGCTAGAAATTGTGAATGCAGAGTACACTCACTGCTGAGACTGGAATGAAACGCTGGCGAGGTTTGGGGGCTTGGGCAGAGTGACTTGATTCATCAGCGGGTATGCAGATCCAGCGGCACCAGGTCTCTTTGCGGTGTAAGAACTACAAGGCTGCCTGTTGGTGTTATGCATGAGGAGGTGGTGGGGACATCCCTGGGTGGGTACCTGCCGCCTGCATGTCTGTGTGTCTGCTCACCGTTCCTGGGAGCACGCACATTCCCAAGTGTGGATGCTGTGCCCCAGGGCAGGCCAGACGCACTGTACGGAGGGGACAGACTGTCACACAAAGCCTCAGCCAGGCTCCAGGCTTTGTGGCACCAGTCTCTGCAGACACCCCAGGCCCTTGGTGAGAGGCTCACCCATGCTCATTAAGCTTCCCCTTCTTGGTGGAGTCTATAATCCTGAGATGTACCAGGAGATGAAAGTGCGCCCTGGCTCCGGCTCCACTGGCACAGCCCACGGGGGCGGCAGTAGGTGCTAATAGCAGGGCACTTAAGGAAATTACAGTCCCAGTTTCTCTTCTTGGGCCCATTATGGTTGATAGAAAGTCTTCAGTAGGAAGAGATAGCATGCTTGTGCTAGAGTCATTAATTTTCAAAGCCCTTGAGCCTTTCAACTCAGGAAGCCCTGCATGACCTCACGCCCACACTTGGCACCCATGGGTCAGGGTGCAACTTTCCCAGAACCACTTCCAGCTGCCACTGTTGCTGCTGCCCATCTGGATTTGCCCTGTGCCCCTCCTCTCTGGAAAGCTACCTGCCGCTGACTTCTGCCCTGCCTCAAACTGGCCTCTTCCCTCTGCTGGTCCTCAGCGTGCTCCCTGCTGTTCATCTGGGTATGCTGGCACTGAGACCCCGGGAACAGTGCATCTTCCCCTGTCGTGCCACATCCTAGCAAGAGCCACCTTGAGCAAGATCGCCTCCGCCACCCTCCCGCAAGCCAGGGAGGACCCGTGGCGTGGCCCAGATCGGTTTCTGGTTGTGCGTGGGGAGCCAGAGCGGCTTGGCTGAAGTGGTCCTCCAGAGGGCAGGGCCCCCGGGCAGGCCTGCGTGTCTCCTGGGGCTGTGCTTGCTGGGCTCCCGAGTGAGACACCCCGCGCATCTGCAGAGGGCTACGGCGCCTCGCCCGAGGCCCTCCACACAGAATGGGCTTTGGGCTTGGCCTGCCGTCAGCGTGTGCCACGTCTCGCTGGTGTGGTTTGGTCACACCAGGGCTCAACTTGTTTCCTGTGCGTGGAGCTGGCGGAGGCCCCACAGGCAGACCGTTTTCACCCGTGCTCTGCTGCTTGTCCAGCTGATGTTTGCAAATGTGTTTCCTCCTTCCCCATCTTAGGAGACTGCACACGCACCTGTGTGGGGTGCTGCGGTTGTGCCCACCTGGCACATCCCTTTCCTGTGCTTCGCTTGGGCATGGTCCTCTCCAGCGTGCCCTGGCACACACTGACCCACCCACTCATTGAAGCTTGAATCACTAGAGGCTCAACCTGACCTGTCTTCATGTTTAGTCTTTCCTACTAGTTTAGCTTTCTTTTTTGCATTGAAGACTTACTAATTTATTTGAAAGACAAATTTACGGAGAAAAGGAGAAACAGGGAAATCTCGCATCTTCTGGTTCATTCCCCACACAGTCACAGTGGCTAGAGCTGAGAAAGTCCAAAGCCAGGGCCAGAGTGTCCTGCCTGGATCAGGGCTCCGAGCGCTGGAGGCTTCCTTTGCTGCTTCCCCCCAGGCACGTTAGTGGGAAGCTGGATCTGAAGTGCAGCAGCCAGGACTTGGACCAGTACCCACAGGAGTGCTGGCACTGCAGATGGCAGCTTTACCACAGTGCCAGCTTAGCTTTTTAAACATATGCAGTGTAGTCACAATAGCATTCTTTTTTGTTTTTTAAGATTTATTCATTTTTATCGGAAAGGCAAACATACAGAGAAGAGGAGAGACAGAGAAAAAGATCTTCCATCTGATGATTCACTCCCCAAGTGACTGCAACAGCCAGTACTGCGCCGATCTGAAGCCAGGAGCCAGGAGCTCTTCCGGGTCTCCCACACAGGTGCAGGGTCCCAAGGCTTTAGGCTGTCCTCAACTGCTTTCCCAGGCCACAAGCAGGGAGCTGAATGGGAAGTGGAGCTGCCAGGATAAGAACCAGCTCTCATATGGGATCCTGGTACATGTAAGGCAAGGATTTTAACCACTACGCTATCGCGCTGGGCCCCACAATAGCATTCTAAAATACATTTTTGAAAATGTACATTTTATTTGTGAAGCAGAGAGATAACTTCCATCCACTGGTTCTCCCCAAATGCCTGTGATTGTTAGGAGTGGGTCATGCCAGAGCCAGGAAGCTAGAATTCAGTGCAGTCCTCTACATGGTTGGCTGGGCCCTGAGCCCTTGCGCCTTCCCCTGCCGCCTGTGGAGTGCACATGAGCTGGAGGCTGGGAGTGGATGGGCAGCCGGAAGGTGAAGCCAGGCCCTGGAGTGTGAGCTGGGCATTCTTTGTGGCGTCCCTGCCTTTTTGGTTGTTTGTTTGTTTGTTTTTTGTTTTTTGGGGTTTTTTTTAAGATTTTTTTTTTTTAAAAGCATGAGGATTTTTTTTTTTTTTTTTTTTTTTTTCATTGGAAAGGCAGATATACAGAGAGGAGAGACAGAGAGGAAGATCTTCCATCCGATGATTCACTCCCCAAGTGAGCGCAACGGTCAATGCTATGCCGATCCGAAGCCAGGAGCCTCTTCCGGGTCTCCCACGTGGGTGCAGGGTCCCAAAGCTTTGGGCCGTCCTCGACTGCTTTCCCGGGCCACAGGCAGGGAGCTGGAAGGGAAGCGGGGCTGCCGGGATTAGAACCGGCGCCCATATGGGATCCCGGGCATGCAAGGCGAGGACCTTAACCGCTTGCGCCACCGCGCCGGGCCCTAAAGATTTATTTTTATTATTATTTTTTTTATTGGAAAGGCGGATATACAGAGTGGAAAGACAGAGAGGAAGATCTTCCGTCTGATGATTCACTCCCCAAGTGAGCGCAACAGACTGATGCTATGCCGATCCAAAGCCAGGAGCCTCTTCTGGGTCTCCCACATGGGTGCAGGGTCCCAAAGCTTTGGGCCGTCCTCGACTGCTTTCCCGGGCCACAGGCAGGGAGCTGGAAGGGAAGCGGGGCTGCCGGGATTAGAACCGGCGCCCATATGGGATCCCGGGCGTGCAAGGCGAGGACCTTAACCGCTTGCGCCACCGCGCCGGGCCCCGTCCCTGCCTTTTGAGAGTTTTGTTTTTTGTTTTTCAAGATGTATTGGTTTGAAAGAGCAATAGAGAGCAGTCCACTATTGCATCTCCTATGCAGCCCCCACAGCAGGTGGAGCCAGGACCTGTCCCGCCTTCCCTCTGCAGACAGCATCAGGACGCTGGGTCAGAGTGGGGCAAGAATGGCAGTTTGACTCACTGCACTGCAGTGCCGGCCCTGAATTCTGCTTTTAAAATGTAGTCCTTACAGGGTCACAGTGCTGAGTGAGTGGCTGAATTGTATTTCTCTGCTGTCAGGGAATGTATTTCCAAGAAAAGTAAGCCACGAACTCCTGTTTCACTGGTGGCTCCGTAGAGAAGTCAGTGCCAGGAGCAGCCCAGGGGTGTGGTTCTCTCTGCATTGAGGAGAGTCATTCTGGGGGTGGCACCACTGCACACTGTTGGCAGTGCCCATGGCGTGGACGTCCTTGATCTCTGAGTGACAGTGCAGGTGTCTCGTCAGGTCTTGGTTCTTGGGAATTGCATTAAGGTGTGTGTGTTGCTCATCTGATGCTGACTGCTTGGGCAGAACCACAGCTTTCAGAAAGAACACAGCCTACCTCAGTAAATGTGCCCACAAGTGGGGGCCCCTGGTGACTCACCCCTGTTTTCCTGCTGGACGGAGCGAGACATGCATGTCCTTGCGGCCCAGAACTATTGTGGCAGGCTTTCCCCCATTCAGTTCCCCTGGCCACATCTGCCCCCAAGAAGGCCTCTGCTTTGGTGTTCTTGGTGATGGTGCCCAGTTCACCCTGAGAGGCGGTGCCTCCCAGGGACTCCGCAGGGCCACAGGTTGTACGGAGGGTAGAGTTTGGCCACGCAGCAGTCAGGGCAGTGGACCGTCAGCCTGGTGTCCTCTTACCCTGCAGGGAGCTGAGCGAAAAATCAGGGATGAAGAACGGAAGCAGAGCAAAAGAAAAGGCAAGTGCCCCGACCCCAGCCAGGGCAGCGCCTGTAAGTAGAGCCGTGCGCTCCTCGGGTTCCCTCCTCCCGGGCACCGTGGGCCGGGCACCGTGGGCTGGGCTCCGGGGGCGGCTGGTGGCATGGCTTCCTGCCGGGCCGGGGCAGGAGTTCTGGGCTTGGCCTCTCGTTGCTGGCTCTGCCAAGCTAACAGGGCACTCCAGGAACACAGGATTTGCTTATCTTTTCTGTCCTGTTGGAGCTGAAGGGTGGGTCCCTGGGAGAGTTTCCTGCCTGTTCTGGCGTGAGCAGCAGGCCTGTTCACCAGATGCTGTGAGAAAAGGTGAAAGGATGGGAATCCTGCCCTATGGGGGCCTTCCAGCAGGTTCTCCCACCATCTACACAGTGCAGCACATCAGTCAGGAGCCGGCTGGTGTCAGGCACCTATCCCCAGTGTCTGCTCAGAGTCGCTGATGGCCGGGGAGCCCTCACAGGGCCAGACAAGGGGAAGCCTTCACACTCTGATTTAATGATTTAAAACTTGGGCAGACAGGCATGTGGCATGGCAGTTAGGATGCCATGTGTTGGATTGCCTTGGCTATAATCCAGCTTCCTGCTCCTGTCTACCCTGGGAGGGTAGCTCACTCAGGCCCCTGTCCTCCAGGTAGGAGACCTGGGGTGCATTCTAGGATCGTGCTTCAGCCTGGCCTGGCCCCTGGCCTGGCTCTTGCAGGCATGTGGAGAGTGAATCGGCAGATGGATGGCCTCTGTTCCTCTGCCTTTCAAATGAAATAAAATTAATGAAATTTTAAAAATATTTAGACAGTTGTGCATACCAACTTCCCCCAACTGTTGGGCTTCTAAATATAGTATAAAGTCGAAGGCATGTTGCTGTTAGAATAGAGACACTGAGGTGAAATTATTTTCTGATTATACTCCTTCAATTGCAATTTTAGCTTTAGTCACACGTGCCTTGCCTCATGTGTGAGTTTAAAGCTGCCTTTTCTGGCTCGACTTGTTAAGAGCCAGCAGGCTTCATGTGCCTGCACCCGCACACTCCCTGCACGTCCCGCGATGCTCTTGTCTTGAGTTGCCCTGGCCTGTGGCTTGCCGGGGCCTGAGCTTGCGTGTCCAGGGCGCAGAGGCCATGTCGCACCTGCACCCGTCGGTCATTCAGTCTGTTCTCTTGGCTGTTGGCAGTCGCAGACGTGAAGGGACCACTGCTGCCCTCGCACAAGCGGACAGACAGCACAGTGTTCAAGCCTTTCCTGGACCTCGACACACAACCCGTACTCTTCATCCCTGACGTGCACTTCACCAGCCTGCAGCGGGGCACACACGTGGGTACCCTCCTCCTGGGGCATGGCCCCGCCTATAGGAACCCTGGGCGTGACTCAGCATACACCCCAGTCCCCCATTGATCAGCTGTATGGAATATGCCATTCACTCAGTAACCCATGTTTAAGATTGTGGCCTGGGGAATACAGTGCCAGGCCTGTGAGCTCAGTCCTGTTTGTATTCACTTGTTCAAGCCTTGGCTTTTCTAGAACATTCTAGAATAGTAGTGTGACTCGGAGTTTGTATTGTGGATTGGACCTGGTCATGCCTGTGGAGGGGTCCATAAAGGCACGCACAGCACAGCCCTGTCACGAGTGCTAGTACTGGGTCCTCACGGTGCTCACCGTGCTCAGTGAGGCACAGGCCTCCAGCAGGCATCGCTGCAGGACCCAGCCTAAGGACAGACGCCAGGGCAGCTGTGTCAGGACTTCGGACATCACAGTCCCCAGGGAAGCCCTGGCCAGAGGTCAGTTTCTGCCAGGGGGCTTCCTGAGAGGAAGGGCCAGCAGATGTCTCCCAGAAGCCACCAAATAGAAGTGAGTAGCCTGGGCTGTCTGGCCACGAGGTCCTCGTAGGGTGTCTCTTGGGTGAGGGCAAAGAAGGGCACACCTTGTCTCAGTGAGCGCATGTGAGGCGTGAGGCCCGACACCAGAGCTGGTCCAGGCTGCAAGCTGCCAGCATGCACCTTGGAGAAGTTCAAGGTGTTGCTAAGAACCTGGCTCATGAAGAATAAGGCTGGAGGGCATTTTATGTGGTTGGTCGCATTTGAAATTGCTCCCCTATTATGAGTAACGGGGCTATGGTCTGAAGTGGTTTGCGCATGTGCATGAAAATCTTTATCTGGTTGTAGGTGCTTCCTATGGGCCCAGAAGAGCTGGAGGCTGAAGGGTAAGATTCGTGTTTTGTTTTGATTTTCTTCGTTTGTTTCATTGGAACAAGTTCACACTTAGAGGGTCACAGAACAGCTCAAAGTATTCACTTCTGCCAATAGCATCCTATCATCCCGGATGCCCTGCAGGCCAGAGCTCTGTCCGTATCACCAAGTCCTAGCGTCAGTGCCAGCCTTTCCTCTGTGGCCACCTTCATTCCCAGCAGCCTCGTGTCCCGCATGACTGGGTTGGGGTGCTAGATCTGGACAGGAACATCATGGAGGGGTCATTTTCCCTTCTACACACACAGTCAGGACGCTGGACCAAATAAACAAGGAGCAGCCTTTGTGTTCGGCAACAACCCCGCAGCTTTCCTTGCCCACACTGTCACTTTAAGATAATGTCGCTCTCCATGTGTTTGGGTTGTCTGCAGCTCTGCCTTGAAGAGGGGACCGTATGGCGCCGAAGATGACTTTGGTGTCCCACCTTCTGCCAAACTGACCCGAGTAGAAGAGCCCAAGAGAGGTGAGCTGGCATCCATGTTGTGGTCGGTGTTCAAAGTCAGGAGTGAGCCAGGGCCATGTCCCTGGCAGCTGCTGCTTGGGTGCACCTGTCCACTTTCACTTCTGTTAGACCGGCGTCTCACGAGGGCTCGGTGCCATTGGTGGGAGCCAGTGCTTGTGGCATGTGTTCATTGTGCTCGTGTTAACTAACAGCAGCCTCCCTCTCTCCTTCCTCCTTGTTGCTGGCTGGGACAGTCCTGCTGTATGTCCGGAAGGAGTCAGAAGAAGTCTTCGATGCACTCATGCTCAAGACCCCGTCTCTGAAGGGACTGATGGAGGCTGTAAGTGGACACCCCAGGTGTCGCTTTGAAACAGTGGGTGCCATTGCCAGTGATGTGGCAGAACGGGTTAAGCTACCACCTAGGACTCCAGCATTCCATATGAGTGCCAGTTTGAATCCTACTGCTCCACTGCCAGCACAGCTGCCCGCTAACGCTGCTGGGAAACCAGCAGTAGATGCCCGAGTGTGTGGGCTCCTGCCCCCACACAGGACACCCGGATGGCACTCCGAGCTCCTTCCTGGCTGTTGCAACGGTTTGGGGAGTGAAGCAGTAGCCAAAGACCCAGTATTTCCCTCTCTATCATTGCCCTGCGAGTGAATAATTTTTTTTCTTAAGATTTATTGTATTTTATTGAAAAGGCAGATTTACAGGGAGAAAGCGCTTCCGTCTGCTGATTCACTCCCCAAGTGGCCACAGTGGCCAGACCTGAGCCGATCCGAAGCCAGCAACCAAGAGCTTCTTCCAGGTCTCCCACGGGGTTGCAGGGTCCCAAGGCTTCAAGCCATCTCAGTTGTTTTCCCAGGCCGCAAGCAGGGAGCTTGATGGAAAGTAGAACAGCTAGGACTAGAACCGGTGTCCATATGGGATCCCAGTGCATGCAAGGCAAGGATTTAACTACTGAGCCGTTGCGCCAGGCCCAAAAATACTCTTCTTTTAAAACATGGATGCCAAATTAGAAACCCATTGGTGGTGTCTAGCACACCAAGCTCCAGCCTCAGATCTGTTGAGCATCTGCTATACTCAGCACTGAGTTACTGGGCAGTAGTGCTGGCCCGGCTGTGCCGCTGGCCTGCAGGCTTGGGGAGGGCCTGGGAGTGCTTTAATGTTGATATTCTTGATTAAAGAGAAGCATGTAACAAACTGTCAGAAGTTAACAGATTTTTTTTTAAGTTTTATTTGAAAGGCAGAGTAACAAAGCTTATATTTCATCTGCTGTTTCACTTGCCAAATGCCAGCCATGGCCCAGGTTGGACCAGGCAAGGAGCCAAAGCCACAAGCCTGGAGCTCCACCCAGGTCTGCCTGCCGTCGGCAGGGGCCCCAGCACTTGGGTCAGCTTCCAGTGAGGAGCGTTGACAGGAAGCGGGATCAGCGGCCAAGCCTAGTGCTGACATGTGCAGTGAGTGGGGTGGGGACCTTGGGGAGAAGCTGCACTGTCTCGGGGTGCCCCTCGGTTGTCCTTCCCACCCCCACCAGCATCGCACTCCTCTCTGCCGTTTCCTGTGGTTTCTGTTGGGGTTCCCTGTGCCGCTTCCTTTGATGACCCCCATTGTTTGTTTTCTTTTTAAAAAAATGTATTCATTTTCATTGGAAAGTCAGATTTCCTGAGGAGTGACAGAGAGGAGGATCTTCTATCTGCTGGTTTACTATCCAACTGGCCACTGTGGCCAATGCTGAGCCGATCTGAAGCCAGGAGCTTCTTCTGGTCTCCCACGCAGGTGCAGGGTCCCAAAGCTTTGGGCCGTCCTCGACTGCTTTCCCAGGCCTCAGGGAGCTGGATGGGAAGTGGGGCTGTCAGGATATAAACTGGCACCCATATGGGATCCTGGCACATGCGAGGTAAAGACTAGCCACTAGGCTACTGTGCCAGACCCAAGCCCCATTCTTTTCTCTTTTCTTTTTTTATTTTATTTTATTTTTTTTTAAGATTTATCTATTTTTAATGGAAAAGCAGACATACAGAGAGGAGGAGAGACAGAGAGGAAGATCTTCCATCCAATGGTTCACTCCCCAATCTGAAGCCAGGAGCCTCTTCTGGGTCTCCCACGTGGGTGCAGGGTCCCAAGGCTTTTTGGCCATCCTTGACTGTTTGCCCAGGCCACAAGCAAGGAACTAGATGGGAAGCAGGGGCACCGGCATTAAATCGGTGCCTGTATGGGATCCCGGCACGTTCAGGGCGAGGACTTTTAGCCTCTAGGCTATTGTGCCAAGCCCTATTTTATTGTTTTGTTTTGTTTTTTATTGGAAAGTCAGATATATAGAGAGGAGGAGAGGAAGATCTTCCATCTGTTGATTCACTCCCCAAGTGGCTGCAACAGCCAGAACTGAGCCATTCTGAAGCTAGGAGCCAGGAGCTTCTTCAGGTCTCCCATGTGGGAGCAAGGTCCCAAGGCTTTAGGCTGTCTTTCCCAGGAGCTGGATGTGAAGTAGGGCTACCAGCATATGAACTGAAGCTGGGAACCACTTCCAGGTCTCCCATGCAGGTGCAGGGTCCCAAAGCTTTGAGCCGTCCTCAACTCAAAATGGAACCACCTGGACCAGAACTGGCGCCCATATGGGATCCCGGCGCATCCAAGGCGAGGACTTTAGCCTCTAGGTCACGCCACCAGGCCCGCTCCCATTATTTCTTAAGAGCTGTGGGAGCCCTTGAGCGAGAGAGGAGAGAGTGGGAAAGGCAGGATTCTGTCCCATGCACCTGCTCACAGTTCCCATTCCCTGGGAGTGCTCTCACCGCTGAAACTGGAATCTGCATCACCCAGGGGTCAGCACACTGTGTGAGCACAGAGCTGGTGTTTTCTCTGACTGGGCTTGCCCGGGCTCTGCAGCACTCGTGCAGCAGGTGCAGCCAGCTGCATGTCGGACATACTGGAAAGCAGGAGTCCCAGCGTCTGCAGAGCACTCCCGCTGTGCCAGGCTGTGAGGAAGTGAGGCAGTTCCAAGTGGGAGGATATCGATCATGTGCACACCACCCCGTGCTCCATAGAGTCCTTGCGTGGCCATGGTAGCCTTATGTGCTACAGAATATGTCTTATTTAGTTTAAAAATATAAAAAATAATAAATTTTAGTTGAGAAGTGGACATTTGGCATTGGTTAGGACATGGCTTGGGACAGGACACCAAGCTCTCATGTTAGAATACCCGGGTTCAAATCCTGGCTACACTTCCCACTCCAGGTCCTGGCTGAGTGTCCCCTGGGAGCTAGCAGGTGGTAGCCTGTGTGCTTGGGGCTGTGTAGTCCACATGGGAGACTCTGATGGGGTTCTGGCTCCTGGCTTTGGCGTCAGCCCGGCTCTGTTAGGAGCACGGGCTAGTGGACTAGCAGGTGTGAGGTCTCTTCTGTCCCCCTCTCTTCAGCCCCCTCCCTCTCTGTCTCACTTTTCCTTTTAAAAAACTTGCAGCAGAGCGCAACCTCCCCAGCAGGCCGCTCTCCCCTGGTGCCTGCTGTGCCAGGCCAAAGGGGAAGCTGGGCACTCAGGCCAGGGCTGCCACACGTGGGTGGCACGGCCAGTGGAGAGCTAGCCTTGGAAGCCCAGTGGGCATCAAGCTCGGAACACTCAGCTTCCTGGGGCCGTCAGCTTCCTGACCAATGTTTAGGGTCTGAAGTGCCGGCGGGAGGCTGCCCCTGGCTTCTGGGGGAGTAGACGCCGGCTTGCTGCAGCACTGCAGCTGATGGGCTAGCACCGCCTGGTAGCAGGCACATTGATCTGCACCAAAGTGCTGGGATGCAAGACCAGTGACCAGGAAGGGGCCCTGCCAAGCAGGGGACTGAAGTGATTGACAAGTCTCCAAAGCAAATGGCTGTGTCCCTGAGAACACATGTCATCCTGCGTGTGCCTACCCAGGGCACACATGTGTCACGAAGTGTGTGACCCCTGGTCAGTGGGAGCTCACTGGGTGTGACCAGCCCAGCGCTGGTGGCAGCTGTGACAGGTGGGGTGGTGGTCCTCCTGCTCTTTTAACTAAAGCTGCTGCGTGCAGGGTCTACCCATGAGGAAAGCCATCTGGACCCTCGAACGCACTCACCCTGTCGCCGTTAGGGCCATCTCCCAGCTGTCAGCATGCTGATGGCTGCCCAGCTGGGTGTGTCTCGGGTGGGGTTTGGGAGAGCAGGCCGCCGGGAGGGGCGGCTTGGCTGCTGTGCTCTCAAGCCATGGAGCCACCTGCTGTAGTTGTCTCTCTGTGTCTCTTAGATCTCAGACAAGTACGACATCCCATATGACAAGATCGGGAAAATCTTCAAGAAGTGCAAGAAGGGGTGAGCAGAAGAGGGCACCAGGTGGGGGTGTGATGGGGCAGTGCATGTGGCTTGTTACAGGGCACTCATGGGGGGCCAAGGCCAAGCACCCCGGTACAGGGAGCTCGGCAGGGGGCCATCCAGGAGGCCCAGGCACCCTGACATGGCATAGAGCAGCAGGAGTTCCTTCCTCCTGTGAGGACACCGGGCTGGACAGTGGCCCCCCCCGGCAGCGTGTGTCCTCATGGGGTCCCGGGAGGGTCCCAGGTGTAGAGCCATTGGGGTGCCCTCTGCAGGCTGCTGAGTGTCCTGCATCCCCAGGTGGCGTTTCAGACACACTGTCCCCAGAGCTGTTCAGATGGATGGGGCAGGCCCGGCTAGAGAGTTTGGACAGAAGGCTGAGCCCCCAGCGGGATTTTCTCACTAGGCTGAGGAGCCATCTTCCACCGAGGGCTTTTGGGACGTTTCTGACGTTCGGGCCATGCCCAGGGGTCAGCGTGGGAACTGACCTGCTGGTGCCATACTCAATACCAGTCTCTCCTGCCTCAGACCTGCCTGGGGCTTTGCATGGCTGTCCCCGCTCCTGCCTCAAACCTGGGGGCACGTGATTCCCAGCCCACTTGCCGCCCCCCTGCCCCTGGGCTGGCCCTGACAGAGGGGACAGGTAGCTGTCTAGTGGCCACTGCTTCAGCCGCCTGCGTTTCCCCCCCAGCATCCTGGTGAACATGGACGACAACATCGTGAAGCACTACTCCAACGAAGACACCTTCCAGCTGCAGATGGAGGAAACCAGTGGCTCCTATAAGCTCACGCTGACCGAGATCTGAGCCGCGGGCCTACAGCAGGACCCTCGCGGCTCCCTCACGTGATACGGCAAGGAAATACTGCTCCAAGATTGAGCAAACTCGGGGAACCTTAGCATGTCTGGCAGAGGCCCGAGGCCTGCCGGCCGCCCCAGCCTTGGCAGTGGCTCTCCCACGCAGCCTTGGGGACAGGCCAGCCCGAGGCGGGGTGAGCCATCTCCCACTTCCCCAGCTCACTGTTTACTGATGCAGGCTCAGTCCCAGTCCTTGGCCGCGGTCCCTCTTCTCGTGAAGAAGGCGGACAGCGTGTGCTGCCAAGTCAGTAGACATAAAGCTGCCTTGTATATACGTGCAATATGTGTCAGAAGGTCCATGTAAATGTGTACATATGTGTCTTATAGAAATACGTAATATATACACGCGCGGCTGCACTAGGCGGAGCAGCTGGCGAGACACCCCCAAGGTCCACACACTGCTGGCTTGTGCGGGACACCCCAGGAGGGGTCCACACGGTGCTGACCTCGTACGGGATTCCTCCACAGGGCCAGGCCGGAGCAGGAGGAGCTGTCATCTCAGCCAGTGGGGACATTCTGTCTACAGACACGGGAACAGTGTGTGCGGGGCCTGGGGCTACAGGTGGGGACATGGGAACATTGTGTGCGGGCCCTGGGCTGCAGGGGGCACGTTCTGTCTGCAGACACAGGAGCAGTGTGTGCGGGCCCTGGCCTGCAGGTGTCTGGCTTGGGCTGGCGGTTGATCTCTTAGGCTGAAGTATTGCGAGCTGAATCGGTGACTTTCAAGATATCATGGGACACGGGTCATGGAACAATATTTTATATCCTGTTTTGTGAAATCGATTATTTCTGTCATTTTGATTATATCATTGAAAATGTATTTTAAGCCAGCCAAAGGAATTAAATTTTATATGTCCATTTCATAATATGTCATTTTTGTTGTTCACTCTCACTTCATCCTCCCATTGGTCAAATGAAATTTAGGACCTTAGGCCAAAGACCTTCTCCTGTGAGCACTTGGTGTTTCTTGGCCAGAACCTGCAGGGCTGCTCCCTGTGGCTGGCCTGGGGTGACCCAAGTGATTGTAGGGTATCTAAGGTTTAGTTGTTTATGTATTTCAAAGTCATGGGGAAGGAGGTCTTCCCACTGGTTCGCTCCCCCTCAGCTGCAGTATCCAGGGCTGGACCAGGCTGCAGCTAGGAGCCTGGAGCTGCATCTGGCTTTCGCACTTAGGTGACAGGGGCCCAAGCACTGGAGCCATCCTCTGCTCTCCCAGGCGCATCAGCTGGGAGCTGGTTGGGAAGCAGAGCAGTGAGGACTCAAATGCATGCGCTGTGGGGTGCCAGCGTTGCAGGCAGAGGCTCAGCCTGTGCCAGATAACTGCCAAAAACCCTAGTGCTCCTGGTTTCTAAAAGTCCAGCGAAAATACTCTCAAAATCTATCAGTAATAGGGTTCTTTGCTGCGGGTTCTAACACCTTAGCAAATTTAAGGAATCCCAGGCCACCGTGAGGGACCTCCCACAGGCTCACGGACACGTGGCGGAGTGTGTGCCAGTCTGCCCGCTCTGGGCCAGCAGCCCGGACTCCCAACCTCGGCCATGGCCGTAGCGCTGCCCTGCTGGGCATCATCCAGCTCCAGATGATGCTTACGCACCTGCAGGTCCTCCTGCCCGGCCCACGCAACCCATTCCCTGAGGATGGAGCAACTTGTCAGCATAGCCCAGCCAGCCCAAGGATAGTAGCAGGGAGTTCTCAGAAGTGACCAGCTCAGGAGCTAGCCCGGGTGGCACCTGGAGCAAAGTGGCAATCCACAGAGCAGGCTGTGAGTGGCAGCAATCTGACCAGTGGTACTGGAAGTCCCTCCGGGATGGCACATGTCGAGGGCACAGCGGGCACATAGGAGAGGCTGCAAGGAGTCCTCTGTATGGGAAGTATGCTGGCTGCCCCTCGGGGCAGGGGTGTGTGTGAGTTCATATTCCCCTTCCCCAGGCCGCCCAGCCTGGCGGGGAGCCCCTTTCTCCTGCTGTGCCCCTCGCCCCAGCATGGCGTCCCGTCATAGCTGCACACCCCCCTTGGTTGTGAGCCCCCGCACCAGCCATCACCCGTGCGGATCTTGGAACTCAACTGTGTCTCATTCATTCTCTCCCAACCATCCCAAGACTCAGAACGTCCCATCTTCCTTCCACTCTGCGCGAAGGGGGCCCAGGAGCAGATTTTCCAATAAAGCTTCCGTTACAACTATGGACAACTTGCTGAAATTCCACCAGCGGGCAGGTGGTCAGTGGTCATCATCCAACAAATATATGCGTAGATTTGAGTAGATTTGCGAGAGGTGGAAAGCTCCTGCCTGCCCATGCACTCCCAGAATTCCCACCGTGGCAGGGTCTGCACTGGGAAGTGGTTTGCCAGCATCATGCCCTTTGTGTACCTGCAAGCCTGGAGCTTGGCATTATAATGGTCTGTGTTGCTGTTTACCCATCCCCACCTGCAGGAGCCTGGGAATCATGTGCCCAGTCTCCACCTCTGGAGCCCTGTGCCCGGCCTGGCCAGAGACACAAAGGACCCTAGCAAAGGGCTGTCCCACTGCCGCACTCTCCCCCGCCCCCGCTCATCAGCTTTCACATCCAATCACTCAGAAAACCTGGTCATCCGGTCTTCAAAGTACACCTAAAACTCAGCCTTTCTCTTGGTGTTCAGACATGTGCAGTGACCTAACTGGACTTCTCCCGGCTCCCTCTCACCCCGCCCCCGCCCAAGGGCCTCATTTTATTCCCAGTCTGGCAGCCAGGAACGTGCTTCACAAATGCGGGACTCCACTCAAAACCCTGCTGTGACTCCCTCTGACTCCAGGGGGCGCTCTTTCCAAGACTCCGCAGGTGCCTGACCTGGCAGACAGACCCGAACCCCTAAAAGACCTGTTCTTTCGGGCCCGGCGCGGTAGCGCAGTGGTTAAGGTCCTCGCTTTGCATGCCCGGGATCCCGTATGGGTGCCGGTTCTATCCCGGCAGCCCCGCTTCCCTTCCAGCTCCCTGCCTGTGGCCCGGGAAAGCAGTCGAGGACGGCCCAAAGCTTTGGGACCCTGCACCCGCGTGAGGCTCCTGGCTTCGGATCGGCATAGCATCAGCCGTTGCACTCACTTGGGGAGTGAATCATCGGACGGAAGATCTTCCCCTCTGTCTCTGCTCTCTGTATATCTGCCTTTCCAATAAAAATAAAATAAATCTTAAAAAAAAAAAAAGACCTGTTCTTTCCTATTCACCCCTGCCTGTGACAAAGGCCTAGCTGGAGCCTGGTGACAGTGACGGCCAGTACAACAGAATGGCTACCACACCGTACTACAATAAAAATTAGGTGATATCTTGTAGGTTTAGCTTCTCATGTGGAGGAGACACAGCTTCTCCCACGCACATCCGATCTCCAGCCATGGCTGCCACTGTGGTTGGGTGACAAGGGCTGTGACCATGAGGCACACCTGATACCTGAGTGAGTGGCAGGCAGAGAGCATTCGCAGTGGGAACGCTCCGTGGACTGGTGCTGTGAGGTCTCACCCCTTCAAAAGGGCTCCTGGCTTGCAACTGGTGAACTGCACAGGTCTAGAACGTTCCATGTAATCTGATCCAACCACTGTTGACCAAGTGTAACTAAAGGGTGGGGTGAAGCAGCATATTAGGAGGGACCACAGCCCACGGGGTCTGCGCCCTTTTCTTTCTGGCCCCCTGCCAGTCTTGGGATTTGGTGACAAGCATTCTCACACTGTAGGCTCAGTGTCCAGCCTGGCCTGCGGCCTCCCCAGCAGGTGGACCAATGCTGCTCGGTTTTCCCAGTCCCTTCTGTGGCCAGAGCCAGGGGCACAAAGCAGGTGACAGACTGGTGCTACTGGCCACTCCCCTGCCCCTTCCCTTACCCCTGTCCTGCACCTCTTTAACCTGCTCTGGTTTTCTCTTGGCAGTTAAAAGTTCTAACCAGCTACATATCCACGTGATCGCTACATTCACTGTCCCTCACTTGCCTCCCTTAGCTTGAACATTCCCTCCACCAAAACAAAGGGTTGTTGTGGCTGACCCCATTCACTGGTGAGTGCCAGATGCCTTCCAGGACAGTCGTGGCCTCTGTAGACCCACCCTGGGGCTCAGCTATGAAGGTGGCATCACCTGCAGGGCAGCGGGACTACCTTCTGCTGCTTTTCCCAAACAATGAGCAGGGGGCTGGTTTGGAAGAGTCGGACTTGAACCTGCACCCAAGCAGGATGCTGGCGTCATATGCGGTGGCTTTCCCTGCTATGCCACAATGTGGCCCTGTGATGATCCATCTTACAGTTCACCTTGACCGAGCTCAGGCACAATTGAATCCTGGTGTCCGTACAAGGGGGAGGAGCCGTACAGCAGCACATGCACGTCCCTTGTCCCTTGCCACGTGATGCCTTGTGCCACCTCAGCAATTCACCAGCAAGAAAGCCAACACCACATGTGCCCATCCCCATCTCCGACACATCCAGAACTCAAGCCAAAACCAACCTTTTTTCTTTCCAAGGTAGTTTGTCTTGAGCAATTACAGTGACACAGCAGATACATTCCCACACAAAGGCAGGTGGCAGGTGGCCTTGGTGCCACCCAGGTGGCCTTGCAGGGCTGAGGCAAGGCTGGCCAGAGGGCTGGCCAGGCTCTGAGTCCAAGTCCAGGAAACGGTGCTGTCTGTTCACTAGCCCAGACACCGAGAGGTAAACAGGAAGGTGAGATGCCAGCCAGCCACTTTGGGAAAGCAGAGAGCTGCTGCGTTCCCCGAGGTGGGATGGCCCCACGGTCGAGGCAGGGACGACCACAGCTGGAAGGCAGCGGATCCCTTCGGGCGTCTCTTGGCATTACCATACCTCCATGATTAAGGTCGTCAGGAGATCCCAAGGAGTATTAGAGTCAGACCCCCTTCAGGAGTGAAGCTTGGGGTCACCCTGCCAGCTCGAAGGCCAAGGAGCAGCCCGTGTGGGCAGTGAGAGTGGCTGCGAATGCTCCGTGGCCAGTGGCTGCCGCGGTCAC